TCAATAAATTTCTTGTCATCACGGAACTTCAAAGTTTGTCGCCATCTCCACACAACGCCATCGTTGAACAAATCCTATCCAGTTCAGTCATTCACAACCTATTTCACATAGATTGACTTTAATATTATCCTCCCATCTATGCATATGTTTCCCAGGCACTGTAATAAAATAATATCTGCCCATTCCCACAACATGCCTGCCCCAGGTCAAGCAAATTTATTTATGCCCCATATTTACAACAAGCATAAGAGGAGAGTACACATAATCAAGCCTCTCTCTACAATCTAATTCAGCATGCGGTTGGAGCAATACCAAGAGATCTCTTCCACAAAACACAGAGATACAGCTCCCACAGTGATCGACATAACCTGGCTGAGAAGAGGCCAAGAATTGTTCCTGCAAGTTACTTAAATGATTGGTAATCGATATCACGCAAGGCTATACCATATCCAGTTCCAATCTGACCTTACATTCAACCACCTTACAGTAATAGTCCCCTGAGACCATAAATCACTAACTTGGACTCTGAGACTAACTATCACAAAAGCAAAGGATGTAGAACATGTCATAATACAAATACAGAACTTATTTCACAAATATATCTACATAAAGCTTAAGAATTTTCAAGTTCCACCCACATGCATTCTATTATTAAGGACATGTAAGTTTTTATTAGCAAAAATATACTAGAGCTTTTTCTGTTGAGACATTTTGTCTAAATCCAAATTGTTCTTCTCCAAGGACGTTGAGTTTACGAAATCATTTACTGTCTTGAGCATAATTTTCTGAAACATTTAAAAAAATATTGTCATCTGCTGGCCTTCTCGTTCTATTAACATTGTGGTTTTACTTTTGAATATTTAAGACTTTCTGGAAACGTTCCTACAGCCATTAAATGATGATGTGACCATGTTCACGCTGTCACTGTATTTGTGTTCTTTCTAAACATTGTGCATTATAAACACAGATAACAGCAGTTTTCAGTAAAACCAATGACTAGAATGTCTGCGTATTTAATGCAACTCTATTAATAATCACTGGATGATTGAGGAATAAAATAAATATTCCTATACGCTAATGAAACAAAACTTTCAGAAAACCCACCTCCATTACAGTTCAGGACTACCAATATATGAGACTGAAATATCATCCTGTAAAGGGAACGATTTGCCACTCATGTTTCCGTTCCTGGTGGATACGTCACATGTATACATGGAAAAAGTATGGCGGACCTCAAAAAGGACTTGGATAATTATTTATCACGAAATGATAATAAGTCTCAATTAAAAATAACAATGCCAGCCCTACTATCAAAACCAGACGTTGGAAAATGGTTTACAGTATCTGCCAGCAACGAGGATACATCAGCGACATGGTTATCTGAAGCACAGAAAGACTGTTGTCCAAGTTTGGTAACTGGACTTGCAATAATGAGCTTATTTACAAAAGATTATTTAGCTTGATAATGGCAGATAATGGTATAGCTGTATTATCTTCCGTTTCAGAGCCGTATTCAGAGGATAACTGGATTCTGTCTTTGCATTCTGTTGGGGCTTCTGTGTTTTGTTTTAGCAGCCATGTATACTCCTGTACTGCTACTAAAAGCAAGAAAATTTGCCCTCCTCTATACGATGGGTAGTCTGTTTACTATATGTAGGTATGTATGCATAAAACACAATATTTTATAATAAAAGAAACTGATGAAATCTGTAAACACTAGTACAGTTGACAAACAATCTCAATATATAGTCCCTACAATGAAATAAATTTAAAAAATATATAAATAAAAATGGTATGGATTTCCTGTAGCTAACCTGATCATGAAGAAGTATTTTTCATGGTTCATAAATTACTATGGAATGTTAATAGCAGGTAATTGCACTGTAAGACACATTTTAAAAAAGGCTGAAATTGCAAATTATAAACATATTTACAACATATTGGACTTGTATTCCTGTATTGAAGGATTAATTAAATAAAATACAGGCCATTCTAACTTACCCGAGCTCCACTAACATCTTAAAAATGTGGGTTGTGTATACAACTATGAGACGAAACACCAAATAACTCGTCAAACATAACTGTTTCTTGCAGGCTCCACTTTTAACATGTAATCAATTAAAATTTTGTATATTTGCAGCTTTTCATTCTTGTGGGGTCCATTAAATCACCTACAACATCTGTTTTCACGGGACCGCCTCCCCTTCACGGCGGCCTATTTCGGGACATTATTTGCAACTCTCTATTTTGCTCTGCAAGTGCAAAGTACACCTTTAACTGTTCTGTGTGCCGTTGGACAGATAGTGGCATTGCTGTGGTTCCTAGTCAGCTACATTCCTGGAGGACAGACAGGGCTACAGTTTTGTACAAGAATGTTTTCCTCAGCTGTCACCAGTACCGTCTCCAAGACTCTGCCAGTCTGATGACTGCTATTAAAATCTACTTATTTATTTTATGATAAATCTTTGCTGTCTTGCTGTTTAATGTACAAATTTTCAAGTGTCTGCAGCTGTGAGTTTTGTTTCAGTAATGGAGACGGTAAAGTGGCGGAAGTCGCGTACTGACATAACCTGCACACTTCCTATTGCTGTAAGGCATCGGTTCTCAGCCTGTATTACATGTGCCTAAATGGCATGTTGATATCTTTTAAGTTTGTAGGGGGGCAAAATTTTTCAGGAATTAAACCAGAAGGACCATCCCAGACAAACAGTACAAATATCAAGTAAAATCTAAGGCTGTTAACATGTACAGAGACAGATTAATGACTGCAATGCAATTCTTTTTTTACTATAATATCTAAAAGGCTAAGGGGGCTTGTTAAATTTGCATACTATGAGACCATTTAATTACAGTCCATATTTTTTTAATTCAGTAGTACTGTGTAGTCAACGTAGCAAACGCTAGGCAATCCAGTCAACATATGGCGATACTACTTTTAACCTGACATACTTCGTGGTTAGAATTTCTACATTTTGACAAATAAGTCGCATCAACGCAGCGTACTGAATTTAGATATTCATTTCTTTAACTGTGTTATTATGTAAAATTAGAGTGCAATATTGTATATGTTTTGTTTTTGATTGGAAACAAGTTTTTAAGTGATGGTAATAAAGTATGCAATCAAAATCAGTAATAATTGTAATTATTATTGTACAGATGCATAAAAGTTAATTACCAATATGAGGTAAAGGCAAATGGTAAATTCCCTTGTACCCAATATGTAAACTTATTCTTTTCTAAGCTGTAGATAAAAGGTTATTTTACATTCAGGTGTAACAATTAAATTTTAAAAATCAGATAATATAAGTTTGTAAAGACAATATTTTGCAAAGTGAAGAAACTCAAAGAATGGCTTTATAAAGCAAGCAAACAGAAAACACAAGGCACTTCTCAATATAAATTGCATATAAATTTGTTCCATTTGCCCTCGAGAACAAGCAGTTATTCCGAAGCGGAACTGCAAGTGTGATAGAAATCGAATCCCACCCTTGAGGACACTTCTACTAGAAACGTGGATGCTTCATTTACACCAGGTAAGTTATGACCCCAAAAAAAAGGAGCAACCCACTGTACTGAACGCATCGTAAAGGGGGAAAAAATCCATGGTATTTACAGCTGCCCATTTAAAGAAAATGTTTTAAAAATCCTGTAGGTAGACATTTTATTTAATTTTAACCAGTACTATATGTAGAAATGAATTCTGGAAGATGTTTTTTAATCAAATAACAAAACCTCCATGTCATCACATTGGTTCAGAAATGAGTTGTGCTGCTTACATAAATGTTATGACTATCAGTGAATGTTCTTAACTAAACTGTGCCCCAGAAAACACTTTAAACCATCTCAGGTTCTAGGTTTACAGATACAACGTTCATGTGCCTATTTCTAACCTCAGTATATATCAAAAAGGAGTTTTAATATACTGGAATTAATCTTCCACCTACTATAAAAAGTTTAAATCACGATATAAAAATGTTTAAGCCAGCGTTAAAAGAGTATCTCCTATCTTACTCCTTCCATTCAGTATAATAATTTACAAATACATGATGGTTCTCATAATTATTTTGCTGTAATACTGTAGTTCCAAAAATCTGTCAATAACTGTTATAACTATGTATTTATATTTGTACTAGAAACAAGTCTTGTATTCGTGCCATAACATGTTCTACATCCATGGCTTAGGCCTATGAAGGATCTATGGAATGTAAATAAATTCTATTTTGGAATATCGACTTTGCATGTGGTTTAAATCTACCTAATGGTGTGTTGCACATTCTGTAATAACTTTGAATTGTTCATAATTTTTAAACACCATTTCACCAGGCAAACTTGCCTTCACTGCATTTAAATGTCATAATCAATAATACCAATATGATTGTCGCACAGCCACAAATGGGAATAGTACCAGTAACATTTAACACTGGATCCTTAAAGAAGATAAGAAATCAATAATTTTGTAAAAACTTTTCTGCAGATTAAAGAAACATGACCAAATAAAATCTGTAGTAATGATTGTACCTAGTAATGAAGGTACCATTTCACACAACACTTGTGTGTAGCCGCATGTCTACAAATCTTAATGAACAATTTATTTTTATATATTCATAGTTAAAATTATGACAACTTGTGAGAATATTCTGGGTTTTATGTGGAAATCTGTAGTTACAGGGATTACATACAGAAACTGATCAATGAGTTGCATTATTTTATAATTTACATTACTGTGAACTTGAAAGAAAGCACAACTTCCTCCCAAACTCTCATACATACATAATCAATTTGTAAAAAAGCCAAAATTTAATTACTAGTACTAAAATAATGTCTCATCTTATTACTGGAAATGTAAATAAAAGTGAAAATATTCCGATGGTTTCCCTTTTGAAATTCCTAAATGAAGATAAGACTAGCATGCTTTGCTATAAGGGCAGTCACATCACTCAGGAAAACACTTTAAAATTTGTTGTTTTTATTCTATCATGTCATATGGAATTATCTTGTGGGAAAATAAAACATAAAATTTACGAAACTTACCATTTAGAAAAAGGCTGTCATCTGGGTTGTAGCGCCGTATCGTCTGGTAAAAACTTTAGCAACGTTTCTGAGGTAATTGCAGCCTCGTAATCAATGTGATTAGCGCTATTATTTTGTACAAGAGTGTAAACTTACGAACCAGGGATTTGAGGTAAAAATACGCACGTGAAACTACACTTTCATAATAACAAAATGTATACTTTTAGTCAACACCCCTTCGAATGAAACACACCGTCGTCTTGTGACGTTTGAATTGACAGTAATTTTCGTTTCTTACAGGGTTAGTTTAAGAATTTTCGACCAAAACGTTATGTTATTTGAAACGTTACTGAACGCGTCCGAACGCTGACGGTGCCATCTATGACTAACTATAAGAACTACATTCATATAACTACACAAGAAGAAATTATTTGGTATCTATTGATGTTGACAAATGACTTTTACCTGCTTTCTTCATTCCAAAGCCTTTAAATTTTATGCACGAAAAATGTGATTATTTAATCAATTACAGAGCTCTCACAGCGTCAACAGGTAATTATCAAATGCAAAGAGTGGATTAAAGTGGAACAAATTGTGAAATATTCTAAAACAGTGCTGTAATAAGAAATCTGGAAATCCAGGATGTAGGATTCATGAAAAGTATAATCCATAGGGTTTGATGCTGTACTTACAAAAATTAACACATCTGCACAGAAACTATCAACTTTCTTTAACATCAGTATACCAAATGTATGACTTTGGAAGTCAAATTTTAAGTACATTGAGTGTGTGGACAAGGCACAAATTAATTTTTATGTACATACACATATATTCTTTTAGGTTAGTTTCCAAAATCCAGTTTTTCACAGAAACTTTAATCGTTCAAGTGCTTCCTTTAGAAGTTTGTGAATACTTTTGTTCACTATGTTCACTACATACCCTATATTCCAAAATTTTCATCATTATTTCACATTTTAAACAGTTTTTCCACAAGCATTTACACACCAGGAATGATTATGTGTGTAAGCAAAATGGAAGTTTCTTTTACAAAGAAAATGCGTATCATTAGAGTAGAGTAATTCAGGAAAGTGATTATCACAGAAACCATTATCAATTACAATACAAATATTTACCCTTCTCTACAACATACAAAATCACTGTATCTTGATGCTACAAGAACACTAGGAAAAAAGTGCCATTTAGTCATTATGTTTTGTTCTCTTAAGCACGATTCATACAACTTATTTTAATATGAAATGTCCTGGCGCATTAAGTATGAAAAAGAGCGAAGAAACAAAAGTCCACCTCTCAGTTCCACAAATAAATAATTGTACCCCTAAATAAATCAAGTCACATTATAACTTAAATTCCTGGGAAATCAAGTTCAGCAACTAATGAAGAAATGTTTAAATTTGGAGAAACTGCGATGACGAAGGAAACTATGCAAATTAAACCAGTGCCAAAAATAAAAGAACAGTTCTGAAACAAAGAAATACAGCAGCAAAACCCAAGCACCAAAACAAGTGAATTCATAAGGCAAATCCTGCTGGGCCTGTCACAATGAAACCAGATTCACGCTTAGAGACTGGTTTTCTATCGTGCGCACGCCAGATGGTGCAGCCACACAGACCGGACACAAAATACCTTCAGGACTGAGCCATGTCACAGAACAACATGAACAAAAGATGGAAAGGGCAAGGGGAAGCAAGACGCTGAATATGGTATCACTTGGCAGTCTTCTCCCTCCAGTGTACCTCAGCCGGCTCACCACCAAGATGTGAATTTGAAATCGTCAATAAAGAACACAGACATCTTGCTACAAGCGTACATTATCCTGTAACACTATGTACAGAGTAAAGATTAAAAAAAAAATACAGGAAATGGTCCATTATTACACATCTATTCACAAAGACAGCTGAAACATTGTGATTCATGAACAAATAATTTGCAATCAGCACAAAAACAATGCAGGGTTCTGTTTTACCTGGGAAATTGTAGAGACCATCATTACGAACTGTGCCCAACGCAGCAGCTGCTATGAGCTTGGGAGGAACAGGCCGTGAATCACGTTGGGAATGTGGACCGTGACCTCTGCTCGCGCCACTTCTGTCAAGTTCTTTGCATCGAGGACCAGCAGGAAGTCAGGTTCACCTTTCCTGACATCGGTGACAGCGGCCAGCAAGATGCCGTCATCCTCGGAAGAAGATCCGGGGCAAGGCACAAACTGAACTTCACCTGGGTACATATACTCGCTCTCCTTCCACGTCTTCGCGTCTCCTGTCTCGACATCCACTTTTATGAGCTGTTGGTACACAACGTTATACTTTGAACGATGCGATTCTGAACAAAGACTTAATATAAGTCCTATAAAACAGTAAAAAATGTTGTTATAAGGATTATACTCAATGCATTGCATAATATCAAGAGATTCAATAAACTGAACAGAACTTAGTAAAACTAACCACTCATTTATCTAACGGTTCAGTACGCAACTAACTCCATGTTGCTGTATTCCTGTAAGAAGACATTAATCAAGAAAATTACACCAATTGTGTAATTCAGTATCTCACAGCTGTGGTACTTAGGAACTCACCGAGTTTGAAAATGGTCCTGGGTCATACATCCCGGAACAATAATAGTAGCGGTACTTCTTCCCAAAGACATTGTTGCTAACAACTGGCAGGTCATAGCCAGGGTCAGAGAGAATCTGTGGAGTCAGTTCAATTACGTCTCCAACTCTTTCAGCTTTTGCCTTCGTTTTGAGAGTCACAAGATTTGTACCGCTCGGGAACTCCTGCAGTTAAAGCATTGCAAAGAATTAATTCAATTTCATATCAGGGAGCTCCTGGGTTCAATTTTGACCTGAAGGTAAGCTATACAGACTATTTTATGATTCTTCTCAGTCCCTGAAGACTAGTATTCGAACAGTACAGTAGATTAGGCTAAGACAATTTCTAGACAGACTCCACTCTCCGCAAGTACTGGAAACTGAACAAATGACCAACTAAATAAGACAAATAATGTGGGAAGATTATAAACAACCACCTGAGCATGAGATTAATTTTTATTCAAATTTTATAAGCAGCTTTATAAAGGAGAGTCCTTAGGCAAAGTAAATAAACTTTATGAAGCAGATTGTGCCATATGAAAGACGGAGCATCATCCTCTGTCATGTAGCGAGAGGAAATTGAATAATGAGAATATAACTTGGTTATGTTGATAGTTAGAGACTACATTTAACATTATTAATTAAATCCTGGCAGCAGTGTCTTGGATATGGTACGTTCAGATCCGTCATTAACTTTTGTGACCGATCCTAAAATTAGGATCAGGGCGTCAATGAAGTGTTTTTGATTTTCCATCTTTAAAATGAAGTCCAGTTTCAATATTACCTTTCCAATTCCTCAATGAATCATCAAAACAAACATAAATGATTATGTTATTAATTCTTTATTCCTTTCATAATAAGCGCGTTTTTCCTGCTGTCCATATCACGCATCTATGCTCTTAGATTTACACGCTACACTGGTTAGAATCCTCCCAGGAAACATCTTTATAAGAATAGTTTGCTTGCTACTCACCATTTTATCTTTCGGTAATGGCAGCACAAACCTATTCCCACACCCAGGATCTTTGGGATCCATCTCGTTGTTGCGCACCTTCTTCAGGAACAGTTTGTCAATGATGTCTGGGCTGTCAAACGCCACAACATCGACCACCAACTGCAACACACGACACAGGGAGTTTCCACCTAGTTCTATGCTAAAGCTGCCGGCGACATGAATGTTGACGCCCTACACCCGAACCTCTTTTTTAGACTGGAACTTACCGACGTTCTTTACAGACAAAAAGAATATGTTTATTTTCCAAGTATGCCATGAAGTATTCCACCAAAGAAAACTTTCAATGGTAAATCCTATCCAGACAAGATCTATTGATCTTTTCACTCTAAATAACTTAAATGGTTACTGTGAACAGGAAATGCTTTCAAGAGACCTTATACTGAGGAAACTTAATTAAAATCAGCCATAATTTATTTACTTTGTAATTAATCAAATATTTCAGTCCTTGAACATGCAATGGACCAAACTATATACAAATCGTCATCTGGGAAATCACTGAAGAAGTTCTAAGCGCACGTGCATTTTACAGAGTGTCTCTGCGACGCCCTCTACTGTTGCAGTCTTATTGGTCATGGGGAAGAAACTATTTTGAATACCGCATGCATCGCAGAAGACAGAATGTAGTTCGTGCCGTGATTTTACTACCTGTCGCTAGGCACAACTGTTGCAAGACGTCCATCACATACCTGGTCGTTCTCTTCGTACGTGTTGATGTGGTGGAAAAGGAAGAAAGCATTTTTGGATTTATACTTGACTGGAAGAATTTTTCCTGTCGACTTCTCTATCACGTAGAATTTGTTCTGTAACAGTGACATAAACCATAATTATCCCACTGAAACAAGTAAATCCTGTATTTTTCCTGACAATATACATTATGACATGTCATTTTAATATTATCCTTCCATCTATTTCTAGATAACTTAAGTTGTGTCTTCCCCCAAGGTTTTGTGACCAAACTTTTTCCATGCATTTCTATACACGTTACAAATCCCACGCAACACATCTTCCGCTAGTTGATCACTAACAAAAGAAAACACGAAGACGTAAACATTATCAATCTCCTCCTCACACAATTCTTTCCCCTGCTAGTTGATCACTAACAAAAGAACACGAAGACGTAAACATTATTAATCTCCTCCTCACACAATTCTTTCCCCATCCTCCAGTTACTTCCTCTGTCTTATGCCCAAATATCCTCCTCGGTACTTTTCCCCACCTCGACCTGTGATCTTCCCTTAACATTACGACACTTCTACGCAGGAAGCAGCTGAATCTTAGCCGATGCTTCCAGAACACCCACCAGCTCCTGAGGGTTCCACGTCATGCAGTCTCTGAGGCACTTGCCCTTCACTTGGCTCGTCACCAGCTTCATGGAACTGATTATTAACGGCTGCTCTATGAAGACAATATAGTTCTCCGACATACCAAAGCTGTGGTAGTAGCACATATTTGTCGTCCAGCTAGAAGGAATCGTAGTCAAGATGGCTGCCTTGCTTAGTGCTACAGACAGAACAATATTATCAGCGTGAATATGTTTGTTGCTTGTAACGATAAATATCTTACAAATCATCATCTTTCGAGGACAAACCCGTTACTGAAGTACAGATTTTCTGTACATTAAAACCATCAAACATCAAAAACATTTCATGAAAATCAATCGACTGACTGAAAAGTTGGACAGCGTGGCGATACGTCCACTTTTCTTCCTTAAGGAAGGATCCGAGAGGATGAAGACAGAGATCTCACCGTCCTGCGCCTTTCCTGATGGTGCTGCCGCGGTCCTGATAATGTGGTACTTTGGCCCTGACAGGAGAGAGGTCCCCATGCTGTAGTACAGACCCCGTGAGTCCTGGTATGTGTGGGAGCTCGCGAGGTTCACCCCCACCAGTTTCGTCATGTCAACCTGCGTCAGCGTTAAAGCTCATTTGGTTATTTTGTATCAACTACTGCAGGTACTTACTTCACAATGAGAATGATAGAATAGTTATGAATCAAGTTAATGTGACCCATTTTGAGATGCAAGCCAATTAAAAAATAATTCTAATAGCACTGATACAAGATAAAATTATTTATTCTTGTTTTTTAACCAAACTATTCAGTGTCTCTTTATAGCAAACAACAAACAAGATAGAATCCAAAGGGAAGTGGTCGTGACCTAATGTCAGATTTTCTTTCGTAATTTTCCTGGAGGGACGCAGGAAAACCACGATACCCCTCGGCAGATGACCCCCAAAATACGTTCCAGACGTGCAAAATCAATCAGCCACTACACAAATTTGATGTAAAGGTCACAATACTTCGACCTGCGTTGCTAATAACTGGATTTGTGAATGTTATTTCATGCATTTTGTTTGTTACACCTGAAAATGTCTCGTCCAACAGACCGTGGGTTGATCACAGCTACTGTGCCCGGGACCAAAACGTGAGTTCTGCCTACATCAGCGGGTTAAATGTAGAAGGAAAATAAACGCAAATACCAAACACATTACGGACTTAGGAACTGAACTAGCTGCAAAGTACTGCCCTTGGGAAACTGGCAGCACAAGCTTCCTTACCTGCTGCCCCCCCCCCCCCCCTGAAACCCTTACCAATTACTTGTCAAGGATATCGAGATCACACATTGGCCTTGGCTAACCTCCATCTTCAACAGCTGCAACGATGCTACTGTGAGAACGCGGGAAGTGCCGTTAGTGCATGCGCCATGCTACGTCATTGCTCTATCACGTACGCACAGTCGCTTCGCGCAATATAAGGTTTGCTAGCTGTGGGACGAGTGGGAAACTTACTTTTGGGACGCGCCTCGTACTTCGGCAGAGAAGCTGTGAAACAGTACAGACTGCTACACGCGTCTAAGACTTACGATGACCTTGAACTCAGCAAGATTACAGTTTGGGTCCCTTCAGGCCACCAGAACAGGTTATGGTGAGGCAGGAGCTTTATGTAATGAGGGAAAGTGACGCAACCAATAAGCAGGCCACTATTAGCTTGTATATATGCAGCTATTATCGGACCTGAAAACATTTCTACCTCCGCGGCGAGACCTGACAAAACACTGAAGACAATCGGCTTTTCGACAGGAGGCGGACAGAGTTGGTCCATACTTTCACTCTGCATCTCTTTTCCGACACCCCCCCATCTGAATTGCTGCACACAGAAGCAACGGGCCCTACCTTCTCCATCGTCGCCAGCGACTCCACGTCGACACGTCGCAGGAAGTTGGTTTCCGAGGCGACGTACACGGCGTCTTCCATCGTGAAGACGTTGATGGCGCCGTTGTCTGTCAGTTCAGGGACCTGCAGAGAGCCACGCGGTTCGTCACGACTGTGATTTAAAAGACAGCACAGACCACCACAACGAACTGAACCTCGCCTATGCGAGAGAAACTTACCAGGGACGACATCATGCGGGAGAAGATGTTTTTGCATGGGTCGGGGTACGACTTGGTGCCGAATTCTGTGAATACGGGGCGGCCCACAGCCACCGCCTTCTTGTATGCATCGGACTGCAGGAAACGCTTTGTAAACGTCACCTGATAAAAAGGAAAGAAATGAGGGGTCCAAATTTCTTTGTTGTCAACCGATTTTCGGTCGTCATCTTTTTGGGGTTCCACTCCCGGCAAAAGCAAACAACTTTCACTGGAACAGCTGCTCTGCCCTTCTGTGTAACAGGTAGGGAAGGATACTACCATCCAACTCACCCACCACGCCCTCTATGCGCCTGTCTCAACGTCACAGTACATAGCAACGGGCAGCTTCGTGTTTTCCTTGTATGTTCAAGGTATTTGCTGACAAACGCCAACTCCACCAGTACTTTCACTTTTGCTGACTGGGACACACACACACTCGAGGGCTTTGTTCTTCAAGGCGAGCGGAAAGTCCACGCAGCGAAAAAAACCAGAAGCTGTCAGACACGAGGCAACCGAAAGCAATCTTCACTCGAGAACTTTACACGCGGAGGAACTCCCTACACTTTGGCACGATCAACTTTACAAGAACAGGGGGAGAAATAAGAAATACATACAAAAACCGTCAGTCGAGAAACACCAAGGGACATAGCACTTCAAAGACACACACACACAACCAGTCCTCTTCATTACGAGGTCAACAAACGCTTTCAATGGTCCATTCTCGACATCTGAGATCACGCACATGACACGAATTCTATCAAGTATCAATTCAACTGGTCTTTAAAAAAAAAACAGGAAGAAGAAGAAGAATTAAAGCCGATAAGGCAGAGACTTACTTTTCCTTTCTGGATGTCGAACTTGTAGAGCACTGCATATCCATCGAACCAATGGTTCATTACGAAATCGCCAATGTCGAATTTCCCCGGTCCCAGACGCAAGAAACATCCTTTCAGCCATTCTGGGATCTGTCCTGTGGGGGGGCAAGCACTGGTTATTAACACGCTGTATCAACTACATAAGCTACGCGGCTTTACATTAAGCGATTACCACAAACAAGAATGAGATGACAGGTTTTGGGTTCTCACGGCGGTGAGGATGTAGATGTTGGTCTTCTGGGTTGTAACGTGTGTGGACTTGTAGGCAGATACCGACGTTTCGGAGGAAGTCTCTCCAATTTCGGCACTGAATATGGAGGCATTATGTTCCTCCAAAACGTTGGAATCCACTAGTCCAAATGACCACCACACACAAGAGTAAGATGCTGATGAGGAGGGAACTGACATGATTTGTTCGATTATAATCTAAAGCTACGTGGCCTCAGATGAAAACTGATACGATATTGGCGAAAACAGACAAGGAAAGGGCAGTATCAACTTCAAAGTTTCCACAGCTCCAGTGATGCAGGCCTTCGGTCTAATTTCTGTTCTCCGGGCTCTGAACTACATTCTGCTGTCGGATGGTATCACCATCACGGACCGCGATAACTTTGCAGTGGTTCAACCGTGCCCAAAGACTGGCGAGTTCAGGGTTTAAAAACGACTACAATGGAATTAGTTCGACTTACATGACGACAGGGATGATCCGAGATAGCTCAGTCAGTATAGTGACTAGCTACGGGCTGGACGACCGGGGTTCAGATCCCCGACGGGGGCAGAGGATTTTTTCCTCTAGCCTCTGCGTCCAGACCGGCTCTGGGGCCCACCCAGCCTCCTCTACCATAGGGGGTCTTTTCCCCGGGGGTAAAGCCGGCCGGGGCGTGATGCTGACCACTCACCCCCATCTAGTGCCGAGGTCAAGGAAGAGAGGAGCTATACCTCCTCTCCCCCCAAGCGCCTACATGGCGTATAGTGGGACAAACTTTACTTTTTACATGCGTTGGTTCCATTGGCGACGATGGCGCACCAGCTGTTCCGGTGCACGCCTGTTACACCATCTCCGTCGACAACCCTGGATTTTAATTTCCGTAAAGTGTGGATTGTTCATTACGAAATTTCGGCTGTTTGCTGTTTCCCGTTCAGTAATAGAAGTCACCGTAAACACAGAGCCTCGTGACCCCTCCGTCCCCCCCCCCAACTCCCTGCCCAAATTCAGCCTTCGGTCTCTTGAAAGAACGTAAAAGATTTCCTAAAGTTTATTCGGTTCTACGTCAGTAGTTCAGATTACAGAACGTCCAATGGCGAAATAATTAATAAATAATAGGAAATGGCACGGAAGGCTTTCTGTGGACTGATTAAACTCCCATCCCGACACTTGCCTGGAGAGACTGAGGAAAATAACGAACACCACAGTGAGAATAGGACTCCAGGCCGAGAGGCATGTCTGGTAAATAAGTGAGTTGTCAGCCACTCGCCTGCGACATTCAACGACTTTCAAAGGACGTAAGAACCTGAAATGTCGCCAAGAGCACATGATTATCGCCACGCGATGACGTTTTAATCATCGTAGTGACTCATCGTGCGCTCGTGACACTGACCTGGTGATGATTTTATCCGACTTATCGCAATCCGTTACCACGAAACTCTGAAAGCAAACATCCGACAAGGAAAGATCGTTATGAGATTGAGGCACGTGAATGAAACCAGAAACATTTCAATACGACAATAAACCAACCTAATTCCTTTGCGTGGAAGTACTGCGTTCGAGTTTCGAACCCATAACGGTCCTCACACACAAAGGTCCAATCCGGACTTGCTCAACAATGCAGACCAAACAAACAGAGCCTTGTTTTCGGAGATGTCTCTTTCAACAAGTCCTCTGTGTTTGCCAAGTTTTATTGACCCAAAACAAATACGAGTTATTGAAGTATTTTTAGAAGTGTTTACCAATCTCTTATACGGATTTCCACTTGCAAAACATTATTTAAATACTCTGTACAACCATGACGTCACACACGATTATTTCGTAATACGCGGGGAGTCCCCAATGAGTCTACAATTACGACAAAATCTGCACCCGTCATGTTCGTATGTGTTTCACAAGAACACAGTCCTACAAGTGTTTGGACACGTTCAACAGTTCAAATCGTCGGCCGAGGTCACTCCAGAGGGAAACCACAAAGATCTTAAGTCGGAGATTCAAACCGGGCACCTCATGAATACAAGCAAGCACTATTAGCTTCGCCTGAAACTAGCCAGCTCGTATGTCCTTCACTGTTTATGCCAACACATTTCGCCGGCAGGTGATAACAAACATAACTGGAGCTCTCTTCCTGCACAGACAATTCTCTACCACCCCCCCCCCCCCCACCCCCCCCCCCCACAACAAAAATCTTCATGTGAGATAATTGTTGATTAGCTTGAAACAATCTCGTCAGCGAATACTTCTCCTCTATGGATTACTAGTGAGTGAATCATATAACAGCTGACTTAAAGGGAGGTTTATCAGCGCACGGATTAAGAATTCTAAGAACAGAACCTAACAGGCGAGTCCTTCGTTCTGTAAGCTACGTCGTAGTAGAGCAAAGTTTTTCGTCATTCCGAAGTCATGGCACTGCCTTAAATAATTAACGCCACCCCAACACACGCACGCACTAGTTGTTTTTTTTTTTTTTGGGGGGGGGGGGGGGAGACGGACAAACACCGCGTGAGAGCAATAGAAACAAAGCAGCCCGCGTGATTATTTTGAAACTTCGGCATAGTAAAAATTGGTTCATCCTTAATAGCAGAAATTTTACTGGGAGATTCTAGGTTAAAAATTACAATGAACAGACTACAATCTTCCCCCCCCCTCCCCCTCAATTTTCACCACTCTGAAGCATTTACAAATCGATTTCATCCGGGCGTAACGTTGCGAGAGTAAATTTCAATCCCAAAACTGACAGATTTCGTGCCAAAGACAAACCAAACTTTGGACTATTAAATTTCCTACTTTCAGTTATAGCAAAATGGCGAACGCACGTATTTGTTGAGCCGTGATATCAGCGCCACATAATTTCAAGGATTTTAAACAAGTGACGTACGGCAACATTTTTAGAAAAGTATATAACTATAATTTTTACACCTAGAAAAAAAAAATTCGACAGTAAATCAACATTTTAGTGACAAAAGAGGCGAACAGTATTCGGGGTTGCAATGCCACGCGCAAATGCAAAAAAAAATCATCCCTAGGGTTCATATTAGTCAACCACCTGAAGCTGTGATAGTGGTAGCGGGTCAGTCCGAAACGTCGGATGTTTCTCATTACTGTGTTACGATCCAAAAAGACTACAGTGCATGTTTTTGGCTATGATCCGCTGTGCGTTACAGAAAACCTGGACCAGGATCATCAGAAATTGAATTATTGGAAAAATACTAATTCAGGCCTCACAATGATAAATATTTCCGAATGACTTATTTGCATGCAATATCACTCATGTAATTTTCATACATCTTAATAGAATATTATTAATATTTCCTGACAATCTTGAACATCATTTAATTTCCAGGTTTAATATATACAACACCTTAATTACCCCACATGCTTCGGCACTATAATGACATCTTCAGGGGCAGAACTATTATCAAGATAGAGATATTAATCACTGCATAGAACGCGTTGTATGTCTCACCTGTAACAACAGCCTCGACCGGGGTGACCTGTTCTTCCGTTGACCTGAACAACTCGCCGAGTTTCGCCATCGCAGAGAACGCACCAGACTGCAACGTGTCCTATCAGCTCCTAGCCCGCGCAGCTTATAACCTACTGGAACGACACGTGGTAGTCTGTAGTCACCAGTTATCGTGACACAGTGCATGGACGGAGGGGCGCGCCGCGGGGAGGGGTCCCCGTTGAAGCTACTACAACTGGAGAAAATTACACAATGAGATGCCCATTTGCCCACGAACACCGTCATGTTTGCGTGGATGCAAAATAACTCCGAGCTTGGTCTCCTTCACAGGAAGCTTCGCGGTCAGGATCAGGTTTATTTTGCGCCCGCCGTAAACCTCGACACACCAGGTAGAGGCGGAACGCTCAGGCCATTTTATTCCTTGAGCCCACTGGGTAGAGGCTGCGTGGGTTGCATTCCCGGTGAGAAGCCAGGGGTAAAAAGAAAGTGACAGTGGAACCACGGTTCCGGAGAATTTGACGTAAATACGTCTATACGGAAAGGAAGTTTATATTCTAAATACTTCCTTTATACATGCTTTACAATTGAGTAAAGTTTGATTAAGACTTTGCTTATTTAACTTGAATTAGTTACGCTTAAGATGAGTCTGTGGTAGCTGACTGTAATGTAAAGTAATGTAATGAAACGTTTCCTAGGTAACAACAATTCCGAGTAAACACGACGTTCCCTAGGTAACCAGGTTACACTTTTTCGTTTCCCTTTCTTGTTACACTTTTTTGCCGAATGACCCTCCCTTATAGACGTATTTACGTCAAAAATTGTTTCGATTTTTTCAAATATTCTTTCTTATATTAAGAGAAATGCTTGGATTCAATTAGTCAACATTTGCAATTCCAGTACAGTAACGTAATACGATTAAGACCTTGGCATGGCCCGGAAGTCAGGCCCAAAATAACACGAAAGTTTTGCAATACCTACTTGCATGTAGGGGGGGAATTCGAGGAAATGCTGACGAGTCTGTGACGTTCGGACACCTTGTTTGGCCAGAATGTCATAATCGGCTCGCTCAAGGTCTTCAAACCAAACGGCTGAAACCCCGCAGTGACGAAACCAAAGACTCAGTCTCTGTCACACACTGTCCCTCAATCGTCAGGCAGAAGACCATTGCCGACTGAAACGAGACACCTGTTCACAATCTAATGCTCTGAATCCTGCGACGGAAATGACATTTTTCGGGAAAATATCACTTGAATGAATTGGACTTGAGAGGATAACATTAAGACGAATGTTATGAAGACCAGGCTGTAAAGATATGGACTGAGCCCAAACATCTTCGAATTGGGTCCAATGGAGCGCTTTAGTCCAAAAGGCTGTGAACATTTTGGTTTGTTGTAGGCAGAGTTTGTTGACCTGAAAGACATACCGCGGCCGACCTGTCTGCCATCTGGCGTCGCTCTCCGTGACCTGAATTACCCCCCCCCCAAAAAAAAAAGAACAGGCGCAGGTACCCGGTCAAGGACGCCCGCTACAACGCGATCCGGGGCGAGGCTGTGCCCTACAGAAACTCGTCGAAGGCGTTCACACCGAGCCAACAGCAATAATTTTACGCAATTAAATCACCAGTTACTTGTCCACCGAGTACACCGGCTTACCATTTCGTGGTTTTCCTCATCCCCCCCGCGTAAATATAGGACTCGAACACGTTTCTACATCAAGTTCATCCTTCGTAAACATTCTACATCCGACGCTGTACAACGCAGAACGAATTGTGAGTTCGGTCGGTCTTCAGCGCGCACCAAGGACAGAGTCGGCCCTTCGAGGGCACCACAGAGACTTACAATGCTTACAGCGTTACCTCCACGCCCCCCTGCGTCTGCGTGTTGCTTAGTTACAGCACCAGGATGATGCGTCACGTGACCATGAATCAAAATCAGTGCCTTGCTGGAAGAAATGAGGAAAATCCCACATTGATGTTGAAATTAGTGTCCACAGACCTCGACCAATGACTGACATTCGCAGATCCGACTGCATCGTGTCCCTTAAGTGTTGGAGCAAACTGTCGATTTCGTAGTCACGGCAACGCGACACAGCGATGATAGCAGATGAAATAACGACGGGCGAAAAGGGGCGGATATCGAGACCTACGTGGAACAGACGGAAAATGATATAAACGAAGATAAACACTACAAGACGTAAGGCAAACACAACAAACAGACTTGCAACACTTCTGTTACGTATTCTGTACATCAGGAGCTCGAACATGAGCGGGCAGACAGAAAACTGGGAGAGATCGCTGTTTTCCTCAGTCTACCTACAAACATCCTCTTCTTCAGAATGCAAATTTTCTCGCATCCACCAAACACCGCGGTTGACAAAATGGAATTAAACAACAAATTGCATGGCCCCGACCGATCTTCGAACTCGGTGCTTCCGCATACGAAGCCTTGACACATGAGCCGAATGCGACACGAAAATAAGAAACAGACGGACGAGGAGAGGAAGAGGACAGAGCACACGAAAAGCGAGAGACGCGGTAAGTGAAAGTAAGTGGGGGGGGGGGGGGGGGGGAGAGAAAAAAATAACAAATGGAACATTGAAATGAAAGTGGAGACAAATGAATGCATTGAGGCGAAAGAGAGGGAGAGAGAAACAGAGACAGGATACGCAGAACAGATAGAAACGGAAGAAGAACGGACAGAGCGCCAGGAACTGCTTCATCATCATAATCACCAGAGCTCAAAAAAAAGCATCGTCAGATTTCACGACATTCAGTGTGCTTCAAGTTTCAAGTATGACGTCACAGGCACATCGATCAATCTTGAATTACAGAGGGAGTAATATGACCGTCACATTCCTGCGTCATAAGCAACCGATCTCGCAATCTCTCGTGTTTAGTTATTATTTAATGTACTAACTACTCTACAGAATTCGACCAGAACAACCGAGGCAAATCACATCGAAAAAGAGCCAGAGATTGCATCCGGACGTTTTCGGAATGCATACCACAGACTCCACTCGGATATGGTCGCTGATCTCAGCTGTCTCAACGCGAATTATGGTTCGTGTAAAAACTGGATCACTGTTGAGAACACCTGGACCATGCAGGAAAGGACACTGGGAATTAGCAAGCAGAAATACGCGTGACGAAGATGCTGCATAGTTTGTAGGCGTTTCTCATCTTCCCCATGCGCACTACACGTCCAGCCACTCTTATCTGCCCGCAACGCCCGCCATACGCCTAACAGCGCCGATAAGACGCTTCTGATTATGGACCCCCCCCCCGGGGCAGTCGTGTTACTTCCTCCTATTGAGAGTCAAACATTTTCCTCGATACTTTGTCCTCGGACAGCCTCAGTATGTGTAACAGACCAAGTTTTACA